ATCCCTGGTCGGACGGGCCCGCATACGGAGCCGGGGTCCGGCGGCGATCCGCCCCCACCGGCGCCGGGGTGGGAAGGGGAGCCTTTTCCTCGGGCACCAGGACGATGGCCCCCCCGGCCTGTCCCTGTCCCTGCCCCTGTCCTCCCTCCAGGGCGCTGGTCGGAAAGGCCCTGGAGGCTTCCACCTTGTCGAGGTCCTCAAAGGCATCGGTCCCCCCCACGGCCCCCGCCACCATCAGGTAGTTCGCAAAGACSCCGAGGTCGTTCCAGGCGTAGCCGGCGGCGAGCTCGAGCTCCAGCGGCGTGGGGAGGTTCTCCGCCGAGGTCCGGGAGGACCGGAGGGCCCCCATCCGGCCGTTGATGGCGATCTGCTCCCCCCGGCTCGTGCTTCTGCTGCTGCTCGTGGTGGTGCCACTGCTGCTGGCACTGCTGCTGCCACTTTTGCTGCTGGCACTGCTGCCGCCCTCTCCGTCGCTCAGGTCCCGAAAGACCAGGACGGTGTCCAGGGCCAGCTCGTTTCCGTTTCCGTTTGGCTTGTCGCCGACCACCYTCGCCAAAACCTCCTCCAGGTCGTACGTCGGCGCAAAGTAGGGCCCCAGGTGCTTGAGCAGGTAGTCCTCCATGGCCGTTTCGAGGACCCCGTAGGCCCGATCGCCGAGGAGYCCTCCGTCCAGCTTCTCGCCCTCCAGGAAAATGCCCACCTCCGGCATGGAGGCCTCCGAGGTCGAGGGGCCCTCGTCCCCGGAAAAGGAGGGGACAAAGTCCGAGAGCCCCCGGCGCGCGATCGCGCTGGCGCCTTCCGCTGCCGCTGCCAGGGCGAGGAGGAAGGCCTTCCGTATCGTTGTGGCCTTCATTTCCGTTTTCTATGAACTATGTATGTAGGAATATATTACTGTATTGTACAAACCACGCCGATCTACCGGTGCGATGGCTGCTTCTGCGACTGCTGCTCTTTCTGTTCTGGGWGCCGTGGTCCCCTTTCTTGTGTTTCGACGGCTCTGTGGATTGTTGCCGGGGATTGGGGATCGTCTTTGGTGTGTCCTTCTTGTTCCTTGGTATCGAAACGGAAGGGCGGAGTCTTGCTTTGTTTTGTTTTTGTTTTGCTTTGTTTTCTCTTCTTTTGTTGGAAGGGCAATCAGAAAGTACGAACCGCACCTTTTGCTCTGTTCTCCGCGAAGAAGGTGGGAGAGRTCGGGAGGGATTGCTCGTTCTCGGACCGCTTGCAACTCACACAGGTGGGGTAGGGTGGTACTTTACTCGCACGCTACTAGCTAATAGTTATCGTTCRAGGTACGTACCAGAGAGCAAATCGTGCGGAAGGGTCCGGCCCTATTTGTTTCTCACACATGACAAACAAACCCGCTAAGAAAAAGAAAGTTTTTTGGATTGGGACGAGGCGAGGCGAGGCTACGAGTACGAGTAGTACGAGTACGAATACCGATGGAGCGCGGGTCGCATCACAGCATCGTGTCGCAAATACGGTACGAAATTTCCTCGGCGAGCCAGGGCGGCCTCGGTGTCACCCATGTAATATTCTTAAAAACTTTTGGTCAACCGGAGGCGTAWTAGGTTTGCGCGCCACACAAACCCGTACTTAGACAAAATTACWATATTCAACCACGAATAAGTTCCCGACCCACCGCCCTATTCGAAGCATCGGGTTTTCCGGTGAGGACCGGCACGCGCTTCAAAATCATCGCGGGAAGCGAGAAAAATTCCTAAGTACGGGATTTCGGCACGCACCACCGCAATATTTATGGACTTCCRGTATGTGATACGAGTCTCCGTGGACGGTTTTGGCGTTGTCTGGTGGAAGACTCGACGCAATTCGTTCGTTCGTACGATAGTACAATAGTACGGTGCGCAATGTTGCCTTCGTTTTTATYGCACCGTCGCGAAGTACGAGTACGTACAGTACGAACCGTACMGTACCGCCCGTAGCCGATGGAGAAACCAAGCTCGTTGTTCTTGCCCATCCACGAATTAATTGTTTTCGTCGAGCTCGGAGAGACAGGCACGATTCACGCGTCTGCGACCACCAAAAATAGCGCACTATGCCATTACCTGCACCCCGCACACTGCAGGGGTCTAAATTATGACCCCTGACAGACTGTACGTACGAGTACAGTACCGTACAGCCAACTCCGAAGGAGCAAAAGGTACGATGGTACTTCTCGTGTCGATAGGATAGTACGTATGCACAATATATACGTACGTACCGGTATGTATCACGGATGACTCGTTCAAACCCGGGACTCGAAAAGAGACCCCACGAACCCCGAAGAAAGGCGGAACACGCTTCGTTCCAGTACGATAGTACGGTACGGTACGGTGGGGTTCCTAATGCAATGCGAGAGAGAACCCCGCAGTACAGTACCGGTAGGTAGCGGCAGTTCTCTTGCAAAAGGCGTGCCATCATATCGAGCCCCGACAAAGACTCACTCATTCGAAGGTGGTCGTATCGCAGGAAAAAAAAGTCTGGCCGTGCTGGTACTCGTACGTACTGTACAGAACCGTGCGTACGGTCCGGTACGCATGGTACCGTGCTGAACCAAACGGCAGAAGAGCAACAGAGCAAGGCCGAAGGATACAGCGTCTCTCAGTGCCTCTATCTGCAATCCGCACTCACCACCTTGCTACCCTCGTCACAAGAAGAACTGAGATTCCTCACACCGTGATATTCTCTTCATTACAAAACCCACAATGGACGTCGAAAATACCAGCGAAACCGATGTCAACGTTCAGTTGGTGAGTCGAGCCGAAAGCACTGCCTTGGTGGAGTGCCATGGTGCAATGCAATGGTGCAATGCAATGGTGCAATGCAATGGTGCGGTCCAGTGCAATGGAGCAGGCATCGTGCCGCCGGAATCGAGTCTCCGGAGGCGGGATGACGCCACGATTCGATCGAACCGGATCGAATGGATTTGTTCGGGTGCCGAATCGAATCCTGGCAGGGAACGATAACAACAAAGACAAGGACAGCCGCCGTGCCGGTTGCCTTCCGGATGGTGCATCGTGCATCGTGCATCGTGCATCGTGCGACCGAATCAAGCGAGAAGGGATCACCACTCGGTTCTTCGTGCTCACTAATTTTTTCCCTCGTCCTGTTTCTCTGCTTGCTTGCTTGCTTGCGTGCATCGATTTTCTCTCTCTCTCTCTCTCTCTCTCACACACACAAACACCAAAACAATCCCCGCCGATCAGATTTCGAAGGAGGGCGACAAATTCCCGGTCCCCACCGCGGTGGCCAACATGTCGGAGCTCGTCAAGTCGATGATGGACGACAACGACGACGACGACGACGATGATGACGACGACGATGAAAAAAAGACCACCGAGATCCCCCTCCCGAACGTCAAGTCGGAGGTCCTCAAGAAGGTCATYGAGTTCTGCCAGCACCACCTGGAAGACCCCATGACGGAGATCGAAAAGCCCCTCAAGTCGCAGAACATGGCCGACGTYGTCCAGGCCTGGTACGCGACCTTTGTGGACGTCGAGCAGGTCCTGCTCTTCGAACTCATCCTCGCGGCCAACTACATGGACATCAAGCCGCTCCTGGACCTGACGTGCGCGACGGTCGCCTCGATGATCAAGGGAAAGACGCCAGAGGACATCCGCAGCACCTTCAACATCACGAACGACTTTTCGCCCGAGGAGGAAGCCCAGGTCCGGGAGGAGAACAAATGGTGCGAGGAGGCCTAGAAGAAAAACACGACACGGCACAGCACGGCAGAGAAAAGCACAGCACAGCACAACACAACAAAAGCAAACAAAGAAAACAAACAAGGCTTGGAAGGCGGCGCAAATCGAATCACAATACTACGTGCAACGCATTGCGGYCGGCGGAGGGAGAATGGAGGAAAGGAAGAACGAAACAAAGAAACAGAGTCAATCGAATCGATACAAAACGAAGCAAGAGGACAATCGTGGAGGACATCTCGGTGGGGCGAACAGAATCAATCCATGACGCGGCATCGCATGCTGGTTCGCGTTCACAGAACGAACCGCTCTTGGTGCGGTCTTTGTTGCGGAACAGTAGTCCCGGGTTGCGTTGCGTTGCGGGGGATGGATTGGTTTTGGTTTCGGTTTGGTGCGGTGCCGTGTCGTGTTGCACGTTGATCGGTACACACYGGCACGGGGATTGCGTTCCATGGTTTGTCGCTCGTGTTGTATGGGCTCGGTGCACATGGTACCGTKCAAGCGTGGACACACGCGATGCACTGTACTCGACTCATACACACCCATAAACAATACTATTACCGTATACCGATGACAAAAAGTACGAGTACTGTACTGCACCACAAACTTGAACACTGTTTAGTATGTATGCGAATGGAGTTGCTAGCAAAAGGCACCGTGTGCGGCATGGTACGCGGGGAGGGAGTCACGGGTTCCCATGCTCTGAGAAAGGGGTCGGACCATTGCTTGCTCGCTCGTTTGCCGGTCGAGCGGTCTCTGCCGTATCGCACTCTGGTGCCTTTGCCGGTGTTTGGTCGCGCGTTCCGAACCGTCCCTTCCCGCTCGGGAACGACGGCACTTTGTTTTCTGTTCTTGCTGTGTTTGACGGTGCGTGCGTGCGTGCGTGCGTCTCGTCCGATCGGGCGTTCCGTTCCCGACGAGCCATGCCCCGGCTCTTCCCCATCCGATACCGCGGAAGGGTCCGGCCGCATCGATGCCATGCCCACGGATGTGTACCGTACCGGCAGCGGTGCATCCTTCCGCAATCGACGGGGGGGGGATGGCCCGCGTTCGTTCCCCGTCCCCACCGAGTTTCCCCGCGAACCCATTGCGCGATCCGTCTCCGGGGGACGAAAGACACCTCCGGCATGGCAAGGGCTGGTGGCTTTCGAATGCGGCTACCATTCGTTGTTCCCAAAGACCACGGAGGCAACCACCGCCAGGAGCACCACCGCGTACGACGCCCAAGGCATCCGTGCCCCTCGCGGGTCCGATGAATCGGTGGGTTCCGCCTGTGGAAACCTGTGGAATACTAATAGGCTCCTTAGTGTACGTGAATACGTGGTTTACAATAAAGAGTGAGCTTATTCACTATCTACTCGTGATTTAGGCTCACACCGCCTCTTCCTCGCTCAGCACCATGGTTTCGATTTCCTCGGGCGTCCTGCCCAGAACCCGCACGGAAATATCGGCAACCTTGCTCCCGAAGTTTCCCGCCCAGAACCTGCTGTCCTTGCCCGACACCGATACGACCAATTTGGGAMRGCGCCCAAACCGGCCRGGAATCTCCGCGAGGGGTCCCAGATCGAACACGAGGGAGGCCCGCTCCCAGTGCACGCCCGCCTCAACAACCCCGGTGGAAAGCGGGGGGGCCCTGGCTTCTCTCCCGTCGASGAGAACGGCCYCCAGAYGAAAGACGCTCGGGCAATCCCACCGCCGGGTGTAGCGCGCCGAGACCTCTATGCGAACCACGGGGGAGGGRGTTCTTGTCGCGGCTTCGCCGAGACGGAGGAACTTGGYCAGGTCGATCCTTTGTTCCATGGTTGAAAAACGAAAGGACGAAACGAARTTGGTGGTGATGGGCTCRCGTTCCGCCTCGCCCACCACGGGGGTAGGAAGCAGGCGCGATGGGTAGGCTCCCGGAGCCCCCSRYTCTACCATCCACGGCGAGCCGTTGCTAACCCATCCCCGGAGGCCGTCTTCGCCGCTGGGGTTGACCACAAAATTCCTCGATCCGGGCTCGGTCGTCCAGGTTTCCGCGCTTGCATCGACGGGGATWGACYCGCACAGGGAACACGAGTAAACCTGTTCGCAATCCTGCGTGGGACCGTTGGTGTGGAACCCGCTGCTTGCTTCGGGTTTGGGATACGGGCACGAGTCCCCGGGGCAGGAGACCGGGGTCARCACCTCTCCTCGCGAATTCTTGTCGTGGCAGTCCTTGCAGAAATGAACGTTTCCGTAGCAAACGTAGGTCSCCGGTTGACAGCAATACCGGCATTTCCAAGTGAGAAATGCCCCGTGCTCGGAGGGATTGCGGCAGACGGTCTGCGATTGGGGAGCACAGCCCGAACAGAGCTTGCGTTCGGGAGCAGTCGAATTCGAATTCGAATCCGAATTCGATCTTCCTGTTGTCTCCACGGCCGGAGGTCGGAAAGCATCGGCGCAATCGATCGTGCCGCCGTAGTAGGGATCGTTGCAATGGCTACAGAGGTAGAATGCGTGCTTCCTCATTGCTTCTCGGTAAAGGKAATCTCGTGACTGGACCTCTTTTCCTTGGTTTTCCTCTTTTGTCTCTTCTAGCAATTTGTGTTGGTCGATCAGGTCGTTCACCTTCGACCGAAGCTTGTGGGTTGACCGGATCAAATCCTTTGGTAAATCGGGATGGTCGTCTTCTCCAAAAATAGCTTTGCAGATGGCACATTGCACGCCATTGAACAAAAGCCGCTGGTCATCGTTCAATGCTGTCATGCTCCCTACCTCGATTTGTTCGATGATACAMTTCCGGTGAAAYCTGTGTCCACAACGAAGCGTAATAATYGCATCTGACGATTCTTCAAAAGCACCGAGGCAAAGGGAGCACTCTGTAGACTCATCTTTGAAGTTGGTTCGTTTTGGCAACGGCGATGGCATGATTGTGCGTCTGGAGGAATTCAAAATGTGATGGGTTGCTTTCAATAAAATATCGGACGTGATCAATACTGTCAGCAGTTGTTGCTTCGAAATAACCGAGGCAACAGCTATCTCTCACGAAGTTCTGAGGTCGTACCGAAGTCACAAACTATCATACGACCAAAACTTGGCATGCGAAATACAGTGCTTCAGGGACGTTCCGAAACGACTCATAACCAGATACTTTAAGCTACTGGACGTACGGCTCAGCTACTGAGACACGTGCCTAGGTACTGATATATATGGCGACCGTTGGGGACGTTACGAAATGACTCATTACCAGTTACTCTAAGCTACTGGGCCCACGACTAGTCTACACAACATTCGGGAAACTATTTTTGACACAATTTTTTGACTGGCCAAAAGTCTACTTATAAGTTACTGAAAAGCTACTTAAAAAGTACTGTTAAAGTAACTTTTGAGTAGCATGAAAAGTACCTTTTAAGCAGCTTTTCAGTAATTTCCCGGAACCCCTAAGTAGAAATCATACTAGACCCGTATATATATATATATATATATATATATATATATATATGCATTTATGTATAACAAATAAAGAATACAATATATTCATATACATATATATTATAGAGTTAAGTCCCGCATTGCTCCCTCTCTAAGAAAAACTATTTGTCAAAAAAAAATTGCACAGTAACTGCAGTACGTACCGGTACCAGCCTCAACAAAGGAGTACACTTTGCTCGTAGCAGCAAAAACTCCACGATACAGCTGTTCCTATTGACACAACTAATAGGCTGATTCCTCTTCAATCGAAGCTTGGTATCTCTCTGGGACTACAGAAATTTGGATGCAAAATGTAGGCTTGATTTACAGCAAATCCAGAGCGCTTGTTAGATCCAGTAGTCATATGCGTAGACTTGTACGAGGCTCCTTCTTAAGCTCAATCATTTCTAGTAGTCGTCGTTGTCGTCGTCAGATGGAGGAAGGGGGATAGGAACAATAGCGTTAGTAGTTGGTTTTGCCTTCTTTCCAGACCTAGGAGCAACAAACTCATCACGTGGTCTGCGCCTATCACTCGTACAGGGGGGAGACCCAGGAAGAGGAGTAGTCCTTGGATCAACAGCTGGAGTTTTGAAAGGCGTGGTATCGTTATCGTCTGAATCTGTATCCATCGGACGAGGCGTGGGGGGACTTCCTGCGCCTCCTTGTTGTGTTCCTAACTTACATAGATCACCAGTATTCTCAGACACTTCAATTGCAATAGGCTTTGCAGAGCCATCCTCCCTTGCCTCATGAAAGATGATTCGAAGGAGCTTCACAGGGACACCATTGCTAGTTCCTTGAAGAATCTTCGGCTCGTAGAGGGAAGTATCCATGTCATTCTCAGGGAAGTAGACAACACATTCCTCAAAGATATCACCATGGTCGTCCTTGAGTTTATTTGTGTTCTTCCCCATTCCAAGCTCAGATGAATGGCGTCTTGGAAAGATGGGTTCTTTCTTTTCGTCAAGATCCATCGCGGCCAAACTGAAGTAGTTGATAAGATACGGGGGCCACTTGATGCGAATCTTGAAGTGTCTCTCATCAACCCAATCAAGATCAAGATCAGATAGCTCAGTGGTAGGATCAAGACTCATGACCAGCTTGCAAAAGCCTACAACATCACTGATCTCTTCATCCCATTGCTCCCAACGAGTAGGAAGCAATGGTCGAGCCATGGGCTGGACTGCAACCATACCAACAAGATTCCGAGCTGCAGAGTTGATCTTCAGAGAACTCATGCTGGAACAGAGTGCATCAGCATCAACGGAGGACTTCTTCTTCCTTGATGAGGAGGAGCCTTTCCGGGCTCCGGCGACGGGAGTTCTTGAGCGAGCCATGGGAGTTTCCTCCTCTTCTGATTCAGTTTCTGGAGGAGATGGATAGGAGTCGTAAGAGGTGTCCACTTCTTGTGGTTGTTGTTCTTCTTTGTCTACGACAGTAGCTTCAACTACTTCAGCTCGCACTTCAGCTCTTGTGTTCCTGTGCTGTTCAAATGGATCTTCTAAAGTTATTCCTCTGTTGCTTAGATGTTGGGCCAATAAGGACATTCTCTGGTGGAAAGAAAGGAAGCAATGAGAGCGTATCGATACTTCGGAGAAGAGCAAACAAGCATCATTGGTGTCAACTTGTTCTTACCTGGGCGATCTTTCGCCAGCTGCTTTGTTTGATGTTCTCTTGGATGTAGTTTGAAGACCTCCAATTATAAACAGAGCCAGGTGACTCAAGACTCCAACCTTGATTTCCTTGTGTTCTTATGAATGTATAGAAGTTATAGCAGGCAATCTGCTTTGCTAGAGGTAAATGGTCGTAAAAGAGTTTGGGATCCTTCTCTTCATGTGCTCTCTTTGCTCCACTCCTTGGTTGGAATCGAGCCATCCTTCTTGTATGAAACAAAAAGACAATATGATTAAATTTAAGTATTTCTATTATTTTTATTTACGCACTAATCAGCCGCGGCAGCTCTCCACACAATGCACCGGTGGTGGTGTGCGTTTGGTTCCTTCCTCATGATGCCATCATTGCTCATTGCTTGCTTCCGGTCTTCTTGCTTCTTCTTTCTGCTGGGGGTCTTGGTTGGGAAAAAGTGATTTACGAGGCTGCAATTTGCTTGCTAAAATTAACACGGGCTATCGCGTGAAGCTTGAAAAAGAGCAACAAAAAGCTCAGCAACTGCTCTATCGAAAAACAGCAACCGACCATGGGAATTGCTCCATTTCACTTGTTCCACTCACTCTTTCTTAATGCACTTGATATCAATCAATAGCTCTCTTCCATTGTCGATTGAACATTCATTGAACTGTAGAAAAGGACCCAGTAGAAGAATTAAATTAGTGTGATTAGTGTAGCTTGTCTTTTTCCGACAACAGCAACAGCATGGTAACCAAAGAAGGTATTGAACTAGTTGCTAAAGAGGTCCTTCAGTGGCCCGAAACAAGGAGAAACTGGAATTCCAAGGACAAGGATATGAGGTTCAGAGCTTGCTTTGGAGCCCCAAGTGAAATATTAGCAAACATCTGGAATAGAATAGTGGCGCATGGTCCAATTGAAGCTTCTGCGCAACCAAAGCATCTACTTTGGGCTTTCATTCATCTTAAGGTCTATTCAACAGTAGAGACCCACTGTGCTCTTGTGGGATGGCCTTCAGCCAAGACCTTTTCAAAGTGGTCCTGGTACTTTGTTAAGAGGATTGCAGAGCTGTTTGATGACCTAATCAGTCTTGACAATAGATTTGATGGACTGAATGGAGTAGCGACAACCAACTGCTTCATAAGTGTTGATGGAACAGACTGCCCTGTCTTTGAACCATGGCCTTTCTCCTGCGACATGTATTCAAAGAAGATCAATGGACCAGGCGTGAAGTATGAAGTGGCTGTTTGCTTGCAAACAGGATTAATTGTTTGGGTGAATGGGCCCTTTAAGGCAAGCGTGAATGATAATACTATATTTGAGGAAGGACTGGGCACACTGCTCTTTCCAGAGGAAGCTGTGGAAGCAGACCGGGGCTATGGGGGAGATGCTAGACTGAAGCATCCATCGATGGGGATCAACAGTGAGAAAAGAAAGATGAAATCAAATGCTCGGGCGCAGCAGGAAGCTGTAAATAGTAGGTTGAAACAATTCAATGTGCTTACCACTCACTTCAGGCACATGAAGCCAAACAGGGAGACAATGTTGCAAAGACATGGGCAGTGTTTCCATGCAGTTGCTGTGATCACACAGCTCAAGTTTCTTTCGGGGGCCACAGTCTTTGCCGATGGGCTTGATTATGATGTTCATTATTTCTAGTCATAGCCTCAACAACACAGCACAGATGCTCTTTGGCAAGAAAAGATGCCACTGCATCTCAATTTACACTACTCAAGGAATACTGCTGTTCCCACTACTTGTGGATCAGTTGCTGTTCTGGGGGTCTCAGTAGTGGCGTACTTTTCGGAGCGTTAGAATAAAGCTAATTGCAGCACTCCTCGTAGGTATCTTATTTTAGGCCGAAAGCTAATTTTAACACGGTGTTTGCATGTGAAGATAAAAACCCTTCTATTTTGAGCAAAATGGCAAGGGTACCCCCTTGATTTGCTGTTTTCTACGGCGCTTTYTACACAGCTTTTGTACTACAGTCCTCCCAAAACAGATCAATCCTTGCTTAAACAGATCAAGCTTATCACTGTCACTCACTATCTACTCATGATTTACTACGTGGTATTGGCTCACACGCATTCAATAAAATATGCTTTATATACACATTTGAATATATGCGTATTAATATAATACAATAGTAAAAAATAAAGGAACGTATATAGAGTATATATATATAATAATTTCGTATACGAATACGTATATAATTATAACGGCTACKGAAAAGTGACTTTAAAGTTCCTTTTAAGCTACTTTTAAGCTACTTAAAAAGTACTTTATTTCTACTTTAAATCTAACAGAAAAGGGCTGTAAATCATTAACAATGACAACATTCGTTTCCCGTAGCGTTACCTGCAGTAGACAAGTCGTTGGACCAGTAGCTTTGAGTAACTGGTAATGAGTCATTTCATAACGTCCCCAACGGACGCCTTATATATTAGTAGCTAGGCACGTGTCTCAGTAGCTGAGCCGTTGGTCCAGTAGCTTAAAGTATCTGGTTATGAGTCGTTTCGGAACGTCCCAGGAGACATGAAACTCTCCCCTGTCGGGAGGATAGATGATAGATGATCATTTTCTGAGTCGTGGACGTTTTTATTCCACCATACCAGTACCAGTACCAAATTTTTGCAACCGATATTGCAAAACGGTCGAAGGAGTCCGTCAGTACTTAAAATACGTARGGTTTTACGTAGGCTATAATACCCCAACTGATCCCACTCCATTTACCACCGTACTTACTCTCCCTACATAAATTCTGGTAGGAATTCTACTGTGCAACCGTATTGGCTTTTCTGCTGTGGTCGCATCCGCACCTCTTTTGGTTGCCTAACACAGAGCAATTTACACTGAGTATGCAACCATTTTGCAACTCCTTTTTGCCTTGTCACGAGAGGTGCATTTTTTGCTCACAAAATAAAAATTTTTGCTCATCGTATCGCATACGGGGGTTCAAGCAAAACCCCAAGCAGCAAGAACAAGAACAAGCAAATACTGTAGTAAGTATCAAAAAACAGCAGCACAGCGCACAGCAGCAGCAGAAACAGCACCACCACAACACAGCCCCCTGACTCACAAGAGGTGCACTTTTGCTCACAAAATAACAGCAACACTCGCATACGAGTACGAGTATCGCATACGAGTATCGCATAGTACGAGTATCGCATGGTGATACGAGTACTAGTACTGGTTCAAGCAAAACCCCAAAACAGACAGCAGCCGTATTACGACGTAGTACTGATACTACTACTAGTACTAATCATGGTAACAGCACAAGCACAAGAACGCACTGGYCGGCCCCGAGCTCGGAAAAGAAGGGGGGGGACTGTAACGCCTCCACGAGACGTGAACCAGCCAGAGCAATGGAGTAGATACCATAAGATTCTACTGGAGCTTATGGATCATGTACACGGAAGAGTGGATGAAGGAGGAGACAACGATAATCGGTTTCCTAATGATACTCTATTCACGGATGAGCAGTTGAGTATTCTAACACCAGATCATATCTACAAGTTTTTCGCAAAGAAAGTCTTTGGTAGGGAGGATCCTGGTGTGGATGATAATCCTACTGAAGGAAGATCTTCATCGCTTGTGTATTACAAGAAGGCGTTATCCTATTTCATGCCAAACAAGCTGCACAAATGGACTGTTATTGCTGGCGTTGGAAGTGGGAATCCTACCAAGTCCCAGCAAGTGAATGACCTAATTGCTGCTGTTATCAAGAAGGAAACAAGAGGACTTGGACAAGCGAGCAGCATGGATAGGCCTCTTACGAAGGATGAGTWTTTGCAAACACTAGAACTGATGGGGAATCATGGCCATCTCATCAAACGGCTCCGATATCTTGCAATGATTAAGTTCCAGCTCCATCTGATTGGTC